ATAAGTAAATAATTAGGAATATATATGAACGTAATAAAAACGTATGTTATATGTATCAATGTACGTAACAAGAATCCGTGTATAAACAATATGTATGCATATAATAACATAACAAAATGTGCACATATGCTTATGTACGAAAATCTATGGTTGAGCTAGGACGTAGTAACAAGACATCGTGACCAATTTTGAACGTAGTAGCCTTGTTCAAAATGTTAATCAATCCAGATTAAACACTCTCGGTTAGTGTTGTAACCTCGGGAGCGTTAGTGAATAGAATAATCAAACGAAGGTTGGTAATGAACGATAATACTTAGGACAAGAACAACACATATAAGATTCGCCAGCAGCTCGTAGAAGAAGTAGTCAACTGCTAGATGTGAATCAAGAGAATTCCACAATGAATCTCCAACTGCAAGATATTTACCAACCTCCCCACGCGGTCAGATGTGGCATAAAGCCAAATTTAATGTGGGTTATCCGAGCCACAAATTTCCCGCAGACACAGTATAAAACAGGGTCCGGTAGCTGTTTCTCGAGACGAGACTCTGCCCTTCGATATAGACTCGTCTGAGGATTCTCTCTGTCCGGAGGCAGAGATTTTGACCAGCACAGCTGGAGACGAATCTCCAACTCTAGGATATCTACGAACCGCCCCACGCGATCTGATGTGGCACAAGGCCCAATTTAATGTGGGTCATCTGAGCCCGCAGACTCGGCCAAACATTCATCGTATTATTATTAAGACGGTCTCGGGTAGCTGTTTAGCGAGTCGAGACTCTGCCCTTCGATATAACCCCATCTGGAGATTCCCGCTGCCCGGAGGCAGAGAGCTTGACCAGCATCGCTGGAGATGAATCTCTAACTCTAGGATACCTACCAACCACCTACGCGGTCAGCTGTGGCACAAGGCCAAATTTAATGTTGGGTATCCGAATCCGTAGACTCGGCTAAAAATTTCAGAGAGTTTGACCATTACAGCTGGAGACGAATGTCCAACTCTAGGTTATCTACCAACCGCCCCACGCGATCTGATGTGACACTAGGCCCAATTTAATGTGGGGTAACCGTCCTAGTAGTCTTGGCCAAAAATTATCCAACACCAGACCACGTGCAGTATTCACTACTGTATTTATGGGAATGGGGGTGGGTATCCATTATCGTCCGTAGCTATGCTACAACACTTAGTAATTTCAATTAAGCCCCTTGAAGAAACACAAATGCGCCTGAGCAGGCATCTGTCACAAGGAATGCTCTAACAGACTGGTCTGCTTGCAAACGGGTATCCGGTCATTATTATATATATGAAGCTCAAGGTTTGAAAACAAATTATAATAAAAAATATAATCCCATATATATATATATATATATATATATATATATATATATATATATTTATATATATATATATATATAATTTCACACCAAGTAAAAGGTAACAAATGCACTAAGACGCAGGGTTCATTGAGAGCAAAAATATAAGAAAAAGACAGGAACAGTAAAAGAACAGAAATTAAGAAGATTGAAGATAACGATTGGCATTGCATTTAAAGTTTTTTAAAAATAAAACTTTACTGGATAGCAAGAAGACGGAAGAGATTTCTACAAGTGAGAAATGCGAGAAAAGAAACCGTTACCATAGAACTTAATGGTTACAAGTTGCCATTTCCAATTATAAAATAATGAGACCTTAACGCCAATCGAGTACTGCGCTTACTTTAACAGACTCTAGATAGCATGGAGCAAAGTTGATCAGAATAATTACTATGAAATTATTTATAAAAAAGTTTCACAGAAACAACATTATGAAGGTTAGTACTAGGCCAGGAACAATGATATCAACGATTTTTCATACCATATGTAGCTGCAATATTCTAAAGACGAATTGAATGGTAGAATTGTAAATTAAAAAAAGGTTATAAAAATATATATATATATATATATATATATATATATATATATATATATATATATATATATATATCTTTTCAAATTAAAAATCACGTTTTTAGTAAATGACCATTTGCACCTACGAATTTTAATTTTACATTTTTAATTTTTTTTAATTTTAAGAATACACTACAAACTGATACCATAAACAGATTGAAAAATCCTGCGAATTTTAAAATTTAAAATTAAAATTTGTAGCTGAAAATGGTCATTGTCTAAAGGTATTTTAATTCCATTTGTAAAGAAAATTTGCTCTGTTTAATGAAAATAAATATTGAGCGATCTTGTGTGAGATCAGTTTTAACATATTTTCAAATTCTATGTAATTTAATATTAATTCTAACTGGATTATATCAATATAATTACGTATATATATATATATATATATATATATATATATATATATATATATATATATATATATATATATATATATATATATATATAAATATAAGAGATATATGAAAATTACGAAAAAAATTTATTTTGTTTATCTTGACTACCAGGAAATTCTCAAAAAAAAAAGGACACCATAGATAATATAGTTTTAAAAATTTCAAGTTTAAAAAGTTCAATGGTTTCATATATATAGAAACGATCATTAGGGCCAAATGATTGATAAATCAAAGAAACGAGTAATCAAATATATATTATATTGGTATAATTTTAATAATTTTATAAATATATATATATATATATATATATTAATTGATTTAAAATATTTTTTTTCGTTACACAGTTCTAACCATGTTTCAAAAAAATGGAAGCTGAAATCTCCGAATTTAATTTTGTAATTAAATTAAAGACATTAGTTCCATTTCATCCTCAAGCGAATTTTGGAGTAACTTTTAAAATTACTGGGTTTTTAAAGACACGGAAAAATCATAATTCACGTTTCCAAGAATACAGAGAAATCCAATTCAAACTGACAAGGGGTGTTTGCGTGTTCATTATGTCTGTATTTTGATGTAACAGTTATTAGTTACGTTTTGGTAGGGGTAGGGATGTATTTTTCAATGAAATCTGACATCCGTTAAATGCATGTCGTCTGGATTTTTTAAAATTTTATTGTTAACGGCAAAAATTCTTACGGCATTTTTTCTATTTGTATATTTAAAGATTTTTTTGGGGGGTGTTTAGGTTAGAATACGTTTTATTTAACTACGATTTGAAAAAATATTTTCACTTTTAATTTTTAATATACTATATAAATTTTTTAAGAACAAGTAAATGTATTAGAATCCATTATGGTAATGTAGAATTATTTTCAACACAAAGTATAAGTATGTATATTATTAGGTAACAATGAGGAGGATAACAATTCTGAATGAGTTTATATATATATATATATATATATATATATATATATATATAATTTGTTTTTTATCCTCATTTTATAAAAACACCCATTTGAAAAAAAGAAGAAATCCTATTAAATGCAACTGGTTTTGGCTTTAACAGTTAGTAATCATTGCAAAATAGCGGAACTTGCCCTTAATTTGAAAGTTAACTCTATTCACGACATTGGAGTTTAAAATATATATATATATATATATATATATATATATATATATATATATATATATATAAGTTATAAAAACTTGGTAATATAGAAAATAATATAAGGAGGATGAAATTTTGAAGCTGAATGTAAATCCAGAGCTAATATTTAAATAAAGTGCTATATGATGATCCGGAATCCTTTAAAAAAGGGCTCTGGTGAAATAAATTATTATAATCGAACCATAAAAGTGGTCTGTTATATATATATATATATATATATATATATATATATATATATATATATATATATATATATATATATTATCAGGATAGTTCCTAAAAATTATTAAAATAATTTTTCGTACCCTCTTCTTACCATATCCGTTTGCACGGCGACATGCAATTTTAAACAAGGACCATCCATACTTTTTGAAGGACCGAATACAGAGACCTGGTGCACTAAGAATTTGTTTACCCAAACGACCCTCAAGATTTTGAATTCAATTTTGCCATTTATATATATATATATATATATATATATATATATATATATATATACATGAGATTTTATATGTGGAAATCATTCATATATTTTGCGAGTTTATATTGATGGTTAGACATGTCTTGAAAATAAATCAAACATATCGATGAAAAGAAGAAATGCTGTAATAAAAATGAACAACATACAACACACACACACACACACACACACACACACACACACACACATATATATATATATATATATATATATATATATATATATATATATATTCAATATAAAAAATATATATAGAAAATAGGAAGGAACTGGTTAGGTAAATAATCCAAAGTCCCTTAGTATTTTAGTTATTATTTTTAAAAAAAATAGTGCTCGATACAAAAGTAGAGCATAAATATAATTATTTATTTAAAAATATGATTCCAAATCGCTACATAAGAGGTCTCATGTTTCAAAAACAAGAGCCGAAATTTTCAATATAATCCTTTAAATTAAATTGAGTTGAAAAAAAATCAATTCCGTTCCATCTTCATGCGAAATTTTGTCATCTTCTTCATCTCTCTCTCTCTCTCTCTCACTATTTATATATATATATATATATATATATATATATATATATATATATATATATATATATATATATATATTTGGGGATAGTAATAAAAATAGTTTCCTTTTTTTCAATTCTCAGTGAAATTTGCTGATGAGTCCCAAAATCCATTCTGCATTCTGTTGAGGATTCTTCTAGAGCCGATGAATTACTTTATCATAATTAAACAAATCCTCCTAATTAAGTTTCTATCTATCTATCTATCTATCTATCTATCTATCTATCTATCTTTTCTATCTATCTATCTATTCTATCTATCTATCTATCTATCTATCTATCTATCTATCTATCTATCTATCTATATATATATATATATATATATATATATATATATTTATTCAAACAGGCTTGGTTTAATAATTTAAAAGTATTATGTCTATTTATTTTAGTTTAATCCTTTTGAGACCACGAATTAATTTAAACATTAAACAAACCTTCATTAATAATGACTTTCTTGATTACATCGTTGATGAAAAAATTAGAAGAGCTATTAGGAGTAGAAACATAAATACAAATGAACACAATACCTAATCAAATAATTCTAAGAATATCAAACTACTAGGTAGTAATCAAATGTATTCTAACTATAATCTGGAGGCAAAAATATTAAAAAGATTCATAATCACTAATAATACCACCATTAATCCAAGTAAAAAATAAGATTAATTATAACATATACCAAATTTAATACAATCAACGTGTTAGCGTGTTACAAAAGACCAACATCGTATATCAATTTAAATGTCGTTTAGGAGATTGCATCTCTAATAAAAATGTTAATACATATGTTTCTTTTGCAACAACGACGACGACGAGAAGGCTTACGTTTCACTTGAATGAGTATAGTTCAATCTCAGAACATTTATAGGAACACTCATATCCACATTCACATTTTAGAGTGATATTCGTTAAAATACATCAGTGCTCCATCAAGATAATAATAAGCAAAAATTTACTATTCTAGAACCACTTTATATAAAAACTTGCAGCCAAAAATAAATAAAGTCAACTACAGGTAAAGTAACAGAGTTCTTAAACATTTGTAGCAGTGAACTCTTATATATCAAATAAAGTAAATTATAAAACTACAATTACAAATCTTTAAAAAAAGGTCACAGAAGTTACCTCCCTTGATTAGCAGCTGAAAAATACTTTTAATTTACGGTCTTAACGTATATCACATCCATAGATATGCAACCTCTGAAGATGGTCTCAGATGAGATTGAAAATACTCGCGAAAAGGAAAATTATTTGAAATAAAATTTTGGAATTTTTCTTTATCGATTTTCTACAGCCACCAAGAAATCAATTCATGGACTTGAAAGATTAAAACTAAAAAATATAGACAAAAGTATGCCTAAATTATTTAACCAAACATCCTTGAATATATATATTAATATATATATATATATATATATATATATATATATAGAGAGAGAGAGATATATATTAGGAACAATACATACGTTGGTATATAATCCAAGTGGATCCTAGCATTATAAAATATTGAAACTGCTGCACAAAAAGACCACAGTATTTATTATTACAGAGCAAATAATTAGTACAAAATAAAATGCAAAATTACCTCATCGGAGACAGGCTTATTTCAATGACAAGATTCGTCGGTCTTATACAATCCTTTCTGCGAAATTGTTTCTCATATATATATATATATATATATATATATATATATATATATATATATATATATATATATATATATATATCTCATGTGTGTGTATGCATATTAAATGGCCATTAAAAAATTGTATTCCTGCTCAATCAAAATTCGTAAATAAATATATAGGCCACTGTGAAAAATGTTTACACGCAGACTATATATTTACATTTTCTGACCATAGCTCAATTAGATCTCATTTAAATATTCATTTAGACATACCAGACACTATTCGTAACATACTTGTTGACAGCACAAATATAATAGCATCATCTACAGGCAAAAAAGGCTAAAATAATGAATAATGGAAGCCTTATTAATAAAAACAAAAACAAAAAAAAAACAACAAAACTTAATAATATTAACTATGAACATAGATACTATATCTTGATCGTGTTTTGAAAAATGAAAACACTATATAAATACATACGTGCAACAAACTATTTCTTATTTAACAGGTAAAATATTTAATCTTTGAAAATGGCTAAATGTATAGCCGAAATCGCTCGGATAAAAAGAACATTCGGACAGTTTTTATATAATTTATCATCTGAAAATGAAAAAAAAATTAGATCACATGAGAAATTGTATAAAAAACTAAATAAAAGAACCTTGTCTGTCGTATTCAATGAAATGTGCATATAAAAAATATATATATATATATATATATATATATATATATATATATATATATATATATATATATATATATATATATATATATATATATATATATATATATATATATATATATATATATATATATATATATATATATTTATATATATATATATATATATATATATATATATATATATATGTGTGTGTGTGTGTGTTGGGAGGGTAGTAAGCATTCATCCAAACAAGTTTGACCGAACAGAGCCGACAAGGTTGGTCTGCATAATTTTTTTTTTTTATATACATTCCCAACTTCCAGATAAGATTGTGAGTATTATATTCGAAACATTGGATAAACTGTCTGAATTTCATATTTTTCTCATGTACTTTCGACTTACCAGTCTTTAGAAAGAAATGATCGGGTGCCTGTGTAGTAGTTTTAATTCCTTTGTCTGCATTTTGCTATTCATTCGAAAGTGAGGAAAAAAGAGTAATCTGAAGGACAGTAGATACCGATCGTCATTGCATTTACATTTTCGGAGATTAAAATTGGCTGGAAACCATAGAGCCGGAAGAGAGTTCCACATGCGAGAAGTCTAAGAAAAGAAATATTCAAATTTTCGAAGCAATTTAAACAATAACATACAAGAAACAATTGATATATTCAGCTGTAAAATTTCTTCAAAGTAAAAAAATCCCCTTGAAAAAAAAGAAAATAGAAACATAGTTTGCCAAGAAATAAACCTGGATTGAAGATAAAAATAAAAAAAAAAAATAATTATAAAATCAACAAGTTCGGAAATATCTATTTTGGATTAACTTTATAAGAATAATGAACTAAAATCTGGTAAAGTACGTAAAGTCAAGAGAAAATAGGAATTGCAGAATAAAGAACAAATACCCCAATTAAAAGCAGAACCGAAAGAAAAATATCCAAGCGAAAACCCAACGTCGCTGGAGGCGCGAGAAACGCGTAAGATTCTATAGACAAAACAAGATATTTGAAACAGACGAAAAGAAATTTAACAGAGAAATATGAAGCCAAACAATTGCAACATAGAAAACACCATTGGAAAAGAAAATAAGTATATTCTGAAATCACATATGGGGAGATGACAAATGTCACAATGAGATTGCTAAATGTTTAAAATATCCGGAGAGAAAGACAGGGGAAGCATCCATGAAACAGCTATGGTAATATATCACAAGTAATAAAACAAACATTAACAAAGTCTCCCAAATGGAAATCACCAGGAATTGACAAAATTCCAAACGTCTGGCATGACACTTTCATAGCTGCCGATGTTATTATGACAATACTATTTAATGAAATGATGCTAGAGTCCACATTACCAGTAGAATGATTCTCCCAAATTGTCACATGCTTGTTACCAAGATTTAATGACACATAATTGATTTTTAAGGATCGTCTGTACTTATTACTTACTTCTCTTTGAATTAATGTCTTCCTTGGAATTATCCTTACCAACTATCAACTGTTATTATATATAATAATAATGTCTGTAATTTATTCAATCAGACATGCCTAAAAAGAAAATTTGCTGTCTAAATGCATATATATATATATATATATATATATATATATATATATATATATATATATATATATATATATATATATATATATATATATATATATATATATAATATATATATATATAAATATTGAAATAGTCAATATATATATATATGTACATAAATTTTTTAGAGGAAAGAATGCAATTAGAACTCAATGTCCAGGACAATTCGTAATAAACATATATATATATATATATATATATATATATATGTGTGTGTGTGTGTGTGTGTGTGTGTGTGTGTGTAAAATTGTGTGTGTGTGTGCATAAATTCCAAAGAGGATAGAATGCAATTAGAAATCAATGTCCAGGACAGAGTTATAATATAATAAAAAAAGGTTTAAACAATAATATTCCATGGTTATAATTTATTACATTGGAATCGTAATCACGATCCAATTCATCAGAATCTGCAAATTCAAAAAGAAATCGCAAAATATAACTCCGGGTATAAAAAACAAAATTTTAGTGAGAGTGTATGTGTGGGAGTGGGAAACAAGTGTGGGAGGGAAATGTATGTAGATACGGAGCGATGGTAAATTGTCGCGTAAAACACATAAAAACTATCTTCTAATTAATTGTTTGTCAACATTATACAATTTGTTAGATTCCCTATTAACTGAAAGAACATACAACCATCTTAAAGAACACAATGCATGTCCTATACAGGAAAAAGGTTGTCACAAGGACGCCTATGATTAAATGATTAGTTGCTTATAAATATGTTGATTCTTAAAAAAACACTCAAAGCACAAAAGCCTCAGTGTAGCATAAACAGACTACAAAAAAAAAAAAATAAAAAAAAAAGCTTTCGATAGCATCCCATAAGCGACATAATATGTCATTCTGGAAGACAAATCTGCTATTCTCGCATTCTAATTATATGTCCTTAAGCAAAGTCATGGAAATTTAATATGGAATTTTTCAAGGAGATTCATTACCCCTTTTCTTTTTTGTCGGTCAAGCAAATGGAACAGCGTTCAAAAGAAAGAAAGAAAGAAAAAAAAGAAAGAATGAAGAAAAATGTGAGAAAGAAAGAAGGAAAAATGGAAGAAAGTAAAAAAGAAAGAAAAAAAAAGAAAGCCAACTTGGAGAAAGAAAAGAAAAGGAAAGAAAGAAAGATGGAAATAAAGAAAGAAAACAGCGCGAAAAAGAAAGAAAGAGAAAAATAAAAGAGAATACAAGCTAGAGTAAAAGAAAGAAAACCAGTTAATGAAAGAAATAATGTAAGAAAATCATTGTGAGAAGGAAATAAAAAAAAAGAAAAGAAAGTAAAAAAAATAGAGAAAAAGAAAGAAATCCAACGTGGAGAAAGAAAGAAAGAAAGAAAGAAAGAAAGAAAGAAAGAAGGAAGTAATCGAAAGAAAACAAGCCTCAGTGGTTTACATGCAGATAGATGCAAAATTTACTCTTGGAACATTTTCGGTCCCATTATGTCAACTGCAAGTTGAAATAAGAATAATAAAAAAAAGAAAACTTACAAAATTGACGGAGGGTGGGGGGTGGATACGTTTGGAAGCATGTTACTAGTAAATCATTTCATCACTGTTTCCTTATCTTGCTGTCACACACTTTCCATTTATTTACCGCCACGAAACTCCGGACGAAGATGCCTTCATTATTTTTTAGGATTTCTTTCCCCCTCCTCCGCAAAAAAAAAAAGGAAGAAAAGATATTATTTATCTTCATTAATTTCTCATGTAATAATTCATTGCCTACAAAAGCTGCATATACATTTCAATGAAAAGAGACACGCACAGATACACATAAGCATAAACACACGGGGGTTACACACATGCGAATACAGGCACGCACGCACGCACGCACACATACACACACACACACACACACACATACATATATATGTATATGATATGCCAAATGAAACATTTCATGTAAAACTCCCTTATATGCAAATAAGCCACAATACACGCGTCAAAACACATTTTTCTTCGTTATAAGTAAAATATATACTTGTCTAACACACACACACACACACACACACATACACATATATATATATATATATATATATATATATATATTCCTCCTTCCCCTCTCTCTATATCACCTTATATCAACTTAAAAGTACCCCTCAAAAGTGTATAAAAATTATATGTAAATTTAAAATATTTTTCGCTTGGAAGTGTGGTCTGATAAACCATTTAAAAATCACATACCTGGGAAATAAATTATAACCAATGGACCTTTAAGGTTATCTGTTTTCTATTTAAACATAGAATATATATATATATATATATATATATATATATATATATATATATATATATATATATATATATATTGGTGATCGTTAAAATTGGTTTTCATGTTTCCTCTTAAAAATTTTCATCTATCCCCGCCTCGTAGCCCATTGTGCCATAATGGTATTATTGCCTTGATTAGTGTGTTGTGATTAAAAACTACCTTTTCCCATATATATATATATATATATATATATATATATATTTATATATATGAGAGAGATATGACATGGCATAATATATATATATATATATATATATATATATATATATATATATATATATATATATATATATATATAGGTGTATTCGACATCAACAATTCTCTCAAACATGTTTGGTTAAATAATATGGACAAGTTCTCTTAATCATTTTTTTTTTATTTAATTTTTGAAATTTCCGAATTAGGGATTTTGTGTTATCGACATATTTGGTAAAGTTCATATATATCTTTATTTATATTATTTTCTTCCCGAATACATTCGAATGTTGATACATTATTTTTCATGAATTGTTCTGTGTATATTTACGCAAGTGTCTTTTAATTTTGATATTCTCGCGTTTGACGGAACGAAATTCATGTCATTCAAGCTAACACTTAAACTGAAATTTTCATGTATTTTAAAGCACGCTTCAATACGCCGTGCGTTATGGAGAAAGATAACTTAATATTAGCTGTTTCTCTTTTATTAAAACAGACTCCAGAATTTGGTGTCTTTCTTTGAACTGATATACAAATACTTATTCTCTATTAAAATTTGTTGTATGTTTATATTCTTTTGTTTATTTGCAATATCTTCTATATGGACTTGAGTTGCACAAAAAAAATTTTGCCAAGTGACAAGTCAGCCCACGAAAGAGTGTGATATATGTATGGCCAATTCAAGAATTTAACTTTTTTTGTTGATTATTAGTGTTGGAAATACAATATCCCAAAGAACATAAGAAATCATAAAAACATTATTTTTTTTACATAGGGTAGGTTTTTGAGGTGATAACTTATATCAAAGAATTACATTAGACGTTTAGAATCTTTTTTTTTATAAGATATGGTAAATCCAAGATATTTGTGAGGATCAATAATCTTTATATACCAGTGGATTATAATATTAATAGCATTCGAAATTACTCGAGAAGAAAATAATATGAAATAAAAATAAATATTATCTTTGGAAAATAAACAATGGCATAATTCGGAAATTTGAAAAATTAAATAAAATATTGATTGCAAAAAAATTCCATATTATATATATATATATATATATATATATATATATATATATATATATATATATATATATATATATATGTGTGTGTGCGTGTGTGTGTATATAATTATATATATATATGTACATATATATTTTATATGTACATATATATATATATATATATATATATATATATATATATATATATATATATATATATATATATATATATATACACACATATATAACATTATACATTTACCAAAATTACACAAAAATATCTTGAAATACTAAAGAGTACATTTATTCAATAAATTCGTCATTGATTTCAACCAGGGCCTCCGAAAGACTTCGGGATCTCCTGCAACTCTTCTGGACGGCCTCGTTGTTTATGTTGCTGAATACTGCCAGAATCCTTGCCTTCATTTCATCTTTGGTGTTTCAAGAAGTTTTGTTGGTGTTTCGCTCAATTGGGGCCCCGCACAAAAATCAAGGATGTTGCGGTCTGGGTAGTTAGGTGGTCAAATGTAAGTGATGATGTGGTCGCAGAAATTCTCTGACAGCCATGACTGGTTTCTTTAGCTTGTGTGGCATGGCGCAGAGTCCTTTGGCCAGAAATAGAATTTTCCAACAGCCACCCTTCTTTACTCAGGACAGCACTGATGTAAGGCACTTGATGTAAACCTCGGTGTTGAGTCTGAAACCCTCACTAACAAATTCCAGTGTTCTTTTCGTATCAGAACACTCAGAGTGAATTTTCGGAGCTGATATACATTTGTAATCACCATTAGACTCGTCAAACTATTTCAGAATCCTTTGCCCTGTTCTTAGATTGACACGCAAACTCTCTTAAAAGATGATTCAATATTTCAGTTTAATTGAGTGTGTGCATTATGTGTATGTTTTACACAAATATAATAACTTCATCCACTTGTAAAAAAAGATTAAAAATAATGGAAGCTTTAATAATTAAAAAGGAAAAAGCCAAATTTAACAATATTAACTACGAACAAGGCCACAATGTGCTAGCCGTATTCGGAAATTAAAAACATCTCTACAACACACTAAAACATACACATAATGAACACACTCAATTAAACTGAAACATTGAATCATCCTTGATAATGGCTAAAGGTATAGCCGAAAGCGCTCGGAACTACAAAAATTCCCCGTAGATCCCGAATAAAACGGGGTCGAGTAGCTGTTTCCCGAGACGAGACTCTCCCCTTCGACATAACCTTACCTGGGGTTCCTCTCTGCCAACACAGCTGGAGACGAATCTCCAACTGCAGACCAACATACAGTATTTACTATTGTATTGATGTGAATGGGGACATACTCATTATCGTCCGTAGGTAGGCTACAACAGTAAGTCGCATTCTTTTTGTGTGGCCTTATTCCTAATAACAGTTTCATATAACGTCACACTAGGCCATTTCAAATGTCCAGCTTCCGAAAGATGTAGAAAAGTAATTCAAACTTCCGGTTCTTGATAATAGATACTAAAATTGAAAGTACTTAAACAATAAATTAGGATGAAATATAAACCAAATATCGATTGGAATCCGACAAAATGATAGGATAAGGATCTGATAGGAAACGTTTAAAATCTAGCATGTTTCGCTTTTATTAAAGCTTCATCAGAGAATAAAATATTTAATTCTCTGATGATGTATATCCGCAAATATTGGTCGTGTTTACGAATAAATTTGTACGCAGATCTTATATGGGGTTTATGAGTAGGTCTATACATGAGCAATTATATACTCAAGCGTTGGCCAGATTTATGGCTGACTAGCTCCAAGCATTTAAACAATTTGGTTTCAGTCATTTTAAAAGTAATTGCCCCAATAAAAGTACAATGGCGAAAATTGCAGGAAGAGTGTTCAACCCTGGTTTTGAAATTGAGGGAAGCTGGGTTCGTAACAGAAGAAATAAGATGACATGCGATCGTGTGGATAACTGGTCTAGATAAAAAAAAAAATAAATGTTTATTAAAAACGTTAAACTACATTAGTCAATTTGGAGAGCAGAACTCTTCGTTATTGGACGCGGGAAGCAAACGGGTGACGTCAATAAGTGTCGAACAATTTTCTCTCCTTGAGTCCATTAGCAAAGTTTCAAGAAATTTTCTTCTTAGGTGAGCTGGCTTATTCTAATTTTTATTTCTCGAAGCACTTTTAGAAATTACATGCAACTTAAGACAGTGACAAATGTCTTGAGTGAAAAATGCATATACGAGCGCCGGCTGAAAAGTTCATAGGCTTACACATCAGTTACATTCTGGTACACTTGTATGTTTTTTAGTCTACCAAAAGTGTACCTATTTACATTTATATTTTGTTCAACGAATGAACTTTCCAGCTGACCCTCGTGTACTAGTTGTATACTACGCATTGTTGTTGTTGTGTGTGTGTGTTTGTGTGTGTGTGTGTCGCTTGCGTTGTTTTTATGCAGAAATTTACAAGTATCATTCCAGTATAAGTTCGTAGTTTTCGAGCATTAAATCTGTATTGCTGAAAGAGCAAGAGGATAAAAATTAATCTTTCCACACCGTTTTAAGTTGTCGCAGTATTAAAGACAAATTATAAGCGTTCCAAAACGTCAGTAGGGTTCCTGCTTCACTCGTAATTTTCTTAGTTCTTTCTTTCTTTCTTTCTTTCTTTCACTGATTTATTCATTCATTCATTCATTCATTCTTTCTTTTTTTTTTTGCATTTTAATTTTCATTTTAGTTCATTTCCTTTCGTCTTCATCTGCTTTTTTTCTTTTCAAGTTTTTAAATTTTCGTTCACTTCTTTTCTTTCTTTTTATTTCCACGGTTCTTTCTTTCTTTCTTTCTTTTTTCTTTCTTTCTTTCTTTCTTTCCTTTCTTCTTTCTTTCTTTCTTTCTTTCTTTCTTTTTTTTGCATTTTAATTTTCATTTTAGTTCGTTTCCTTTCGTTTTTGTCTGCTTTTTTTCTTCAAGTTTTTAAATTTTCGTTCAATTCTTTTTCTTTCTTTTTATTTCCACGTTTCTTTCTTTCTTTTTCGTATGCATTATATCTATTTTTTATTTTGTGACCGTTTTTCTCTTTCTTTTTAATTTCACGCTATTTCTATCTTTCTTTCTTTCTTTTTCTTTTTTTTCTTCTTTCTAGTTTACCTTTTTCCTTTCGTTTTGATTCGCCTCTTTTTCCTTCTTATTCAAACCTACTGTTCGTTAACTCATTCTTTCTTTGATTCCTTCGTTCTTTCTTTCTTTCACTCATTTATTCATTCATTCTTTCTTTCTTTCTTTGATTCTTTGCATTTTCATTTTCATTTTAGTTCGCTTCCTTTCGTTTTCGTCTTTTTCTTTCTTTTCAAGTTTTTAAATTTTTGTTCACTTCTTTTTCTTTCTTTTTATTTCCACGTTTCTTTCTTTATTTCTTTCTTTCTTTCTTTCTTTCTTTCTAGTTTACCTTTTTCTTTTCGTATTGATTCGCCACTTTTTCCTTTCACTTTCAAACCCACTGTTCCTTATCTCATTCTTTCTTTCGTTTATTTTCTTTTTTTTAAATTTCGCATTTGCTTTTATTTCTTATCAATGGCCAACTTTGTGATGCTAAATCTGTGCACATTTGGTAGACGGATACCTGTTGCTTATCACGTAATTCCTGAGAGAGGTAGAGTTTGGTGGAATAAGCGTGTCATCCATTGATGTTACTATATATAGCCACAAGCATGTCTGACCTTTGTCTACTCAATGATAGCAACGCTATTCAATATAAAGCAATATTTCGTAATTTTAAATAGGAGTCCAACGGGAATTATATTATCAGAAAAAAAATTACTTTCCACAGGCGGCAATACAGCCATTTTGAGAATAAAAATTACAATCTTGTTAAATATTTCTCTACGGCAAGTGCCGAGACTCAAGTTTAAACGTTACATTTTTAGCTGGAGACTCAAGTATTAAAGGACAATATTTACCTGTAGAATCAAGTATGAATGCCTAATATTTGCGTATAGACTCAACTATAAAATAGAAATATTTCACTATAGATTCAAATATTAAAAAACAATATTTACATATAGTCTCAAGTATAAACGATACATTTTGAGCTGTAGACTCAAATATTAAAAACCAATATTTACATATAGACTCAAGTATAAACATACATTTTTAGCTGTAGACTCAAACATTAAAAACCAATATTTATATATAGGCTCATGTATAAAAGATATATTTTTTTAGCTGTAGACTCAACTATAAAAGGACAATATTTACCTGTAGAATCAAGTATGAACGCCTTACATATAGACTCACGTATAAACGACAAATATTCAACTATACACTCAAGAATGAACAAGCGGTATTTATATATAATCTCAAGTATAAACAACATAGTTTTAGCTGTAGACTCAAGTACAAACGGGTAATATTTATCTGTAGAATCCAATATGAACGTCCAATATTTATATATATACTCAAATATAAATGACAAATATTTAGCTATAGTCTCAAATATGAACACACAATATTTACAAATAGACAAAGTATAAACGACAAATACTTGTAGACTCAAATATAAACGACACATACTTACCTATATAAACAAATATGAAGGTCTAATATCTACTTATCCACGGTGCCCAGTATGAAAGCGGCAGTTTTTTTTATCATTGTTTTATCTTTCAGGAATAATTGATCTTAAATAACCTTGAATGAATTTCTTGAATATTCATGACCTTGAATAATCATTCGATTCTCTCGTAATTATTTAACTCTGATCGGATCATTATGATTGATTAATTATTGCTGGATCTTGTGACTGGTCATTTATAAGGTAATTTGTAGAAAACTTTGTTTTTCGTTCTGCGATTCTTGTATGCCTAAACAACTGACCAGATTTTGAGCGTCAAGTTATCATACCTTCCAAAGAAGAACATCCAACAAGGGGGATTAACTAAATGTGGAGAAATTCTTCCTGAATTTGTCAGTCACATCAGCCGTCACCAGTTTTCAACGGTTGTCTCAAGTATTTCCGAATTTACCGCTTTTTTACTGGGCACCCTGTAGAATCAAGTATAAGAAACCCATATTTACCTTGCGACTCGACTAAAATCGACCGACATTTACCTATACAATCAAGAGACATTACTCTCTTTTCTGAAGGAACACTTCCGTTTCATGCAGATGGACTGCTTGATCGAATCAAAGTCCTTTGTACATTTACATGCGAATCGCCGTTCTTACCAAACCTTGGATTCGTATGAGTTAATTTGGCCCGCTGCTTGCTAACGATTGACTGCATCATCTCTGTCTCAACATAAACGATATAAAGAGTTTCCTTGGGTCGGCCTAATTTTGACCTTCATTGGATTAACGTTATTTGACTTGTTCCGTATTTCCTTTAAATGTTAATCTCTTACACCTTTCGTGTGCACTTCCCATTCATTATTAGTTATTATTAGAAAAATATAAAAGCGAAACTAGATGATGCGTAATTGCGTGACGATCACAACCGAATCTAAAAGTATTATAAAAGAAAATACAAAAACCTAGCTTGAGGTGTTGATTATTTGGGAACATAAAACTATTAAGGCGACTACGTAATCGACGAAGCAGATTCCTCATTTCTTTCAAAGGAACAAAGGATGATCTTTCTATCACTCATTGATACATTCTACGAAAAAGGATGAGAATATTCGCATAACTTAAACCTAACCCGCCTTGAATAAAATGGCTGTAATCTAGAAGTCTGATCTACCAGACAACCTCAAACGAAGATTCTTTCGCACTACTATAGAGGCGGTTTTAATCTATGCTACCACAGTTTGGATATTAACTAAAACGCTTGAGTTTAAGCTAGATGGAAACTACGCTTATTATGTCTAAATCAATCTCTATGGACCCATCCCTGATATTTTAACAATGTTACGTGAACTCGGAATGCGTTTAGCAGGACACTGCTGGTGAGCAAAACAAGAATTCGCGAGTGATCTACTGCTCTGGATACCTAGCCATGGCGCAAGACGGGTTGGTCATCCAGCAAGACATTGACCATTTATGTTATGACACATAGTGTCACCCCTAATGACATTCCGACCTTGATGCACGACAGTTATGTTTGGCGTGATAGACTCATGAACGTCCGAGTTAGCTCGGCCGAATATTAATAATAATTGGAAGATATAAATATCAAATAAATTAAAAGATTAAAATATTAAATAAATTACGGAATATTCAGAAGGAATCATATCAGCAATTCCTCAAGAATTTGATAAGAAGAAAATTGCTTAAAGGACAAGAATCGACAATTGGTCGCGTTGGTTAGCACAGTTTGTCTTTGTGTCAGTTAAAGTTGAGCAATTTTTCTTTGTCTGCCGTGTCCCTTAAGGACGTAGGCGATCATGACTCTCCAAATCTCCTTCCCTTCGTAGTGCTTAATAAAAATTGTCTTTCTTTTACTTCTCCTAAACTCTGTGCCGCCATCCATTTACTCAAGCTCACCAAGTATATTTTGCATCGTTTTCTTCTGTCTCTCGTGCCTTCCATCTGTCCTGTGAGTATCAGATTTTCCAAACAGACCTTTCTCATTATGTGGCCTAGACGTTTCAACTGTTTCTTTCTGATGTTAAGTATAAGTTTCCTCTTTGTTCCCATTTTCTATAAAACCTCATCTTTGCTCACATGTTCGGTGCATGGTATCCTCAGCATGCTTCTGAAGAACCACATTTCTGTTGCTTCAGTTATCTTCTTCATCTTAGAGGAGATTCTCCAACACTCACTGCCATACAAGAGATCAGATATCACGTAACTGTTTAGTAATCTTTTCCTTGTTTGTAGCGAAAATTTTCTGTTTCTTATTACTCAGCTTCGCTTTTGGAAGGCATCTTTGGCTATTCCAATACGCCTTCGAACTTCAGTGTCACACTTTCCGTCCTCTCCTAAAACACTTACTAAATATTTAAAGATTTTATTTTAATTTTAATTTCAAGCTAATAGAATAAATTTCATATTTCCAATAAGCAAAGTAGTTTGCAATGGACTGTGATGAGTTTTCTTTACTTAAATAGCTGATTAGCGCACTTTTTTTAATCGCCTTTCATCATAATGTAATGCTCTGTATTTAAAAATCTTCCCAAAACAAAATATAAGTTTCTGAAACTTTATTTGAAAAATATTACCTTATTTAAAGTATAATTAATCTGATTTGAAAAAAAATATATATTTATTTTAAATTTGACATATCGCAGAAATGCATTTTTTAACATATCGGTAAGTGTTTATTTAAGCTGTTGACATGTTTGAGAGCTTGACAACAGATTGATGTTTATATAATAGTGTTCTATGGAGGCTTTAGCCGTAAAAGATATTGAATTTGTCATGAGTGCCTTTTATATATAATTATTAAATACATATTAACTTAAAAAAATTAAAATATTCTCCATAATCTAAAATTTTATTGAATTTTAAATACTTTCGGGCTGAATTTTACAAGTTATTGATTTCATTTTCTGATAATGGCCTGTATGGACGTCAGTATCTACAAAAATTGGTACGTTTATTCACATAGAGGAAATTCAAAGTTCTTTTAAAAATATCAGTGTTTGATTATTTGTACTAAGCTTTTCCATTTATGATGAGTAAATATAATTTTTATTTAATACTATCACCCAAAAATGTGAAATTAATGCAGAATTTTAAAATATTTAAAACTTTATAAATTATTCTAATTAAAATTAGAAACAAAATGAAAGTAATGCTTGTAAAAATTAATTATTATTTAAAATTTTTTTTCGAAAGACAATAGTGTACTTAATATATCTTATTTATAAAAAGAATTAATTTTATCTAATTAAATAATATCATAGTTTTATTACATTTTTTTATGTTACTATTCAGAGCAGATAGTTTGACAAAACCAAATTGATGATTTAAATTTTTCAACGTGTCTTGCTTCAAACTAATATAAATATGAAGAGGGTGGAATTTTAATTTCTTGAAATTTCATAAAATTAAGTGGGGGTAACAGATGTAAAAAAGAATATTTTTACCAAGATTTTCTAAGCACAAAAAAAAGTAAATAAATTCAAAACTAATTTCGTTCATTTGTAAATAAGTACTAAATATTTTCTTAAAATCCGACAGTTACTGGATTTTTGCAAGAATTTCCGAAACAATGTAATTTTTACCATTAAATTACCCATACTAATATTAGACTGACCGCTGACCCAACAAAAACAAGATTTTTAACCAAAATTTCGAACATGGAGGATTAAAAATATAATGAAAATAATTTGGTCTTTCCTCTTAATAATAACATAAATATTTTGACGATAAAACTTTTTATCAAGTTTGTGGCCCTTTATCATCTTTTTAGCGAATTTTTGGAAGTAGAGAGAGAGAGAGAGAGAGAGAGAGACAGAGAGAGAGAGAGACAGAGATGGAGGGTGCGATGGGTAAATTGTCGCATTATATATTTTTAATTTCGCACATGCGCGTTGTTTGTGTTTGATTTGGTCGGTTGCACCATCTGTGAGAAGAAGAAAGCTATCACGCAATTCACTCCGCCAGAAATTTGGAAATGTTATGCTGTAATGCTTAGGATTCGAGCTGCAAGTTCCAATACGAAGTTTCCAGAGTGTTTGGGGGGGGGGTCA